ATCTATCTATCTATCTATCTATCTATCTATCTATCTATCTATCTATCTATCTATCATCTATCTATCTTGCAGTTCACTTCCAATTTTAATAGTCTACTGATCCTCTTCATGTATGTCGAGCCCAAAATTTCTGTTGCTAAGTGAGACACCTGTTAAGTCAACTTTGCCCCATTTTACTGTCCTTCTAGTCACATGGTTGTTAAGCAAATCACTGAGGTAGTTAAGTTAACCACACGGTTGTTAAGCGGATCGGGCTTCCCCATTGACTTTGCTTGACCCTGGGATGCTGCAACCATCATAAACATGAGTCAGTTGCCAAGCACCTGAATTTGGATCACGTGATCTTGGGGATGCTGCAAGTGTGGAAAACGGTCATAAATTCCATTTTTCAGTTGTAACTTTGAACAGTCACTAAATAAGTCGAGGACAGCCTGTAATAATAATGCAAAATCAATAAAAATCCCTGGAAAGTTGAAACAGCAGAAATTAAGTGAGGGTGAGCTCGCCTGGAGAAGGACTACCTGGATGGGAAGCCACCACAGAAACAGCTCTCCCCTGTAGAGGTCCACCTCACTTCCTGGTGAGAAGAAGGCTGCTTCTGGGCGTTGGCCATGAATTTGGCGAAGAGGCAATAAAATCCGGAGTCTGGCTAGTCCCTATGAGGCCTGTGCCTTATGTGTGGTGAGGATCAAGTCTTGTCTTCCTTCTAAATGTCCATCCAGTCTTCTCCAACCCCACCGTCCACCCCACGTCCTTCGTCTCTTATGTGTTGCTTCATCAGTCACTCTAGACTAGAGCAAGGAGAGGACCAGGATGGTGGTTTTTCCCTGCCCCTTGGGAAAACTAGAAGGCAGGGAGCATCGTTTGAACCCAGCAGAACTTAAGCCCAGAGCACACCTGAGCCTCGCACTCACAGCAATGCAGTTGGCTGGAGGGAAGGACAGCAGGGCCTCGCAGTTGTGGGAACACATGCGCAAAAGGGGATAAACATCCTTGGAGATCCATGGGATTCAGAGGGAGGGAGGGACGGAGATGGGAAGAAGGGAGGAAGGAAGGAAGGGAGATGGGAAGGGGGGAAGGAAGAAAAGAAAGATGGGAGGAAGGAAGAAGAGATGAGAAGGAAGGAGATGGGAAGGAGGAAGGAAGGAGAGATGAGAAGAAGGAAGGAAGGAAGAAGAGATGGGAAGGAGGAAGGAATGAGAGATGGTAAGAAGGAAGGAAGGAGAGATGGGAAGGAGGAAGGAAGGAAGGAGAGATAGGAAGGCGGAAGGAAGGAAGGAGAGATGGGAAAGAGGAAGGAAGGAAGGAGAGATGGGAAGGAGGAAGGAAGGAGAGATGGGAAGGAGGAAGGAAGGAGACATGGTAAGAAGGGAGGAAGGGAAGAAGGAGAGATGGGAAGGAGGAAGGAAGGAAGAAGAGATGGGAAGGAGGAAGGAAGGAGAGATGGGAAGGAGGGAAGGAAGAAAAGAAAGATGGGAAGAAGGAAGAAGAGATGGGAAGGAGGAAGGAAGGAGAGATGGGAAGGAGGGAAGGAAGAAAAGAAAGATGGGAAGAAGGAAGAAGAGATGGGAAGGAGGAAGGAAGGAGAGATGGGAAGGAGGGAAGGAAGAAAAGAAAGATGGGAAGAAGGAAGAAG